AGTACTCTATTCGAGTTTAAATTTTGTGAGTCAGAGTCAAACTCAACAGTATTTGAGCATGACTTGACTAGCCTGGAATAAATTGCATGGTCTCACAAGTTGAGGGTATGATTGGATCATGAAACAAAGCTCGTGGGCTTTAACCCTTCCTTTTTTCACATTATGTATATTGAAAAGAGGAGAAAAAGCAATGGCCAAGAAAGAAGTTCACTTCCCTATTTTGAAAGAGAGCGGAAAGGAGAGAAAATTTAACAGACAGTAGGTTGCAGTAAAGAGACAAAAAAAAAAAAAAAAGGGCACAGGAAAAGCAAGGAAAGCTGTCGACCCCTCTCCTTTCTTCTTTAAAAAACATGACACAAGCAAATTTATTTATAAACAAAACACAACCAAATACAATGTTCATTGTCCAACATCAACTGAAACTTAGCAAAGAGAATAAGAGAGAGACAACACAAAGGTGGTCATGAAAGGAAGAGAAACCAAAGGAGCTCCTTTGGCAGATTTGTTAGTATGTTTCCCATCTCGAGCCCAACTTACACTAATGCCGCCAAAGAACATTTATAGTCCTGCAAGGCCCTCAGAACCCAACAAGCGCCACCACCACCGTCTCCTTAAGAAATCAAGCACCAGAAATGGAGGCGGCCAAGCTAGCCGTCTTCTATGGGCTACAAACAAGCAAATGGGATCCGAGATCACGGAACCCACCTCCCCGAAAGTCACGTGCGCCGGACAGATCAAACTCGGGTCTAAAACAAGCTCATGCAAAAGCTGGCAATCCGTCATGGAAGAGATTGAAAGAATTCACAACAACAGGCTACACAGAAAGAGACGTAGTTGGGTGGAGTCACTTGGTTTTAAGAAAGAAGTCATGCACTTCTTAACATGTTTGCGGTCCATTCGTTTCGATTTCCGCTGTTTCGGGTCTTTTCCACAATCCGATATCATTACTGATGATGAAGACGAAGATGAAGAATACCAAGAAAACGACAACTGCGTACAAGGCAATGAGACATCAAGAACCATCTTTTCGAAATGGTTCATGGTCCTGCAGGAGGATCAAAGGAACTGGTTTTATAAACAAGAAGACAAAGAAAAAGAGAGCTCCCTTGATCATGTTGATGATAAGCCAGAAGTTCCACCTGCAAATGCTCTCTTGCTCATGCGATGTAGGTCGGCTCCTGCTAACAGCTGGTTAGAATATAACAGGGTGGAAGAGGAGGAAAACGTAGAGAAAGATGAGGAGGAAGAGGGAGAAAAATTAAAAGAGCGTAAGAGGAAAGACGAGGGGAAAAGAAAGAATTTGAGGTCTTTAATGGAAGAAGAAAGGAAGAAGATGAAAGAAAGCTTAGTGGTGATGAAATACGACCCTGATTTCTACAAAATTTCAAATGATGTAGTCCAAGAGACATGGCTTGTTGGTGGAATGAAAGATCCATTATCCCCGAAGTCGAAGTTGGAAGAGATGATTTATATTCTCCCCGGTGACTACTCTATTTTCATAGTTTTCACTTCATAAATTCTTTGTTTGTGCTTTATTTTGAACCAATTCTCCCCATCTGAGTTCTCTTTTGAGAACTGGGAATTCACTACCTTAAAGTTTACCTTTGGAATTTTGATATGTTTCATTGTCATGTATGGGTTGATAGTTATATGTATTCAATTTGTGCCTCATATTCTGTACAGCTTTCCTTTTTCTTTCAAATGGAAAACATTTTGCTGCAATTAATTTTTGCTATGCTATTTAAATTTTTGTGTGGTTCTTGCTTCTCTTGAATTTTTCTTCTTCTTTAAACCCGTAGTTTTTACATGCTAGAGTTATTTTCATTTCTGGGTTCATCTGTAATTAATGTGAGTGATGAATTAATCAGACCAGACTTTTTATCTATAGAAGATAATTGCATACTTGGTTGCGCCAGAAGAAATCGGAAAGTAGGCTACGGTGTTGAATCGATCGAATGAAAACCTTAAGACAGGGGTTAGACATGTTGACAAAATCATGGGGGTAAATAAAATATATAACAGACATGTTTCTTTGTTTGATTAAAATCATGTTTTAGGATATTCATTACTCATTTGCTCTAATAACTTTATTTCTTGGGGATTGTTAGACTACATGATTAGCAATCGGATGATGCTGTCACGTTCGGCAATCACAAATGAGTATCGTTAATGATAAATACTATTAAATTAATTTATAAAATATAATTATAAATTAATTAAAAATCTAAATATATTTTAATTAAAATATAATATTTATATAAAACATTAGTTTTTAGGTTAAACTATACCATTAACCACCTAATTATTTACCTCTTTTACTTTAACCACCGATTTTTTAATTTTATCAATCGGGTCACCTAACTATTTAAATCTTGTCAATCAAACTACCTATCATTAAATATTACAGAGGAAATGAAGTGGTAGTTGATAAAATTTGTATAATTACACATTTAATCCTCATTACTTATATATTCTATTAATTTGGCCCTAACTTTTATTTAATTCAATAAATTTAATTCTCAATCCAGTGGTGACATGTGTCACTTAGTGATTGTATTTTAATTAAATTACATTTAGATTTTTAACTAATTTATAATTATATGTTTAGTACTTTATAATTTAACGTTTTATAAATTAATTTAATGGTACTCATCGTTAACGGTGTTTATCCACGCTCGACAAACGTTGTAGAATTTTTCTTAGCAATTATGTTTTACCCTTGGTCAATGTAATCATAACTTACTTGTGTTAAATTTCAAATTTAATAAATCACATGTTAAAATTGTAATGTTAATAAATCACATCAAAATGCACTGGGCTTTCGTAGCCCATCCCTTTTTATCTCAATCCACCAATCTCGTTGGAATTCAATCGGTATCCCTTGTCGTCAACCTTTAATGTTCGTTCCTCTTTGTTTGGGCTTAAGTTGAGCCCCATTTTTAGACGAGTTAGAGATAGTCGTTCATTTTTTTAATTTTAATTTTTTAATTTTCTATATTTTTTATAATTCATTTTTATATCCTAAAATTTTATAATTTTTTTATATAATTTTATAAGTTCATATCTAACTTAAAATCTTCCGTCCGTACTTAATTCGTATGGTCATGTGTATATTTTCGTCGTACTTGTTTTTTTTGTAAATAAACGGCCCTTTGTTGATTGAAAAAACAAAATAAAAATAACTAAAAACCTGTTTGATTCTTCAACCTTAATCTAATTTTCATATAATTGTATAAGGAAAGACAAATTAATATAAGGCTAAAAAATAACATAATCGAAAATCTGAAAAGAATCTTAACAAAACCGATTTAGCGCGACTGGAAATGTTGATTTATACCTAATATATTAATTACAATGGCGTAACTGGCAAACTTATCTGATCGGTAAGCATCGATAATTTTTCATAAGTATTGATACTTTCAAATTTAAAAAAAAATAGAAAATGAGAAGGCCGCAAAGTTTCAATATTTTTCCACAAATATCAATACTTTCGAATTTAAAAAAATAGAAAATGAGAAGATTGCAGAGTATTAAACTTTTAAAATAAAATAAAATAAATATCGATACTACGATCTGATGATTGATACTTTAAAATTTGATGAATGGTAAAATATCGATATTTTTCCTATTATTTTCGATACTTTAACATTTGAGGAAGTTGATGGAAATTAAAATATCGATACTTGTTTATTTGAAAAAATTGTTTAAGTTAAGATCAAAAGTTACTTATTTGAAAATTTTCATTAAAATATCATTATAAAAACATTGATAGTAACCGGTTAAAATAAAATAGGCGCAACTTATTACGTTAAATTAACTATCGATTTATTTAAAGGTATAGTAATGTAAACGATAAAATATTTACAATTTAGCCAATTAAAATAAAATAGACGCAACCTATTACGTTAAATTAGCTACCAGTTCGTTTAAAGGTATAATAATAATGTAAACGGTAAAATAAAATAGGCGCTGCCTATTATGTTAAACTAGCTACTGATTTGTTTAAATGTATAATAGTAACGTAAACGGTAAAATATTTATAACTTAACCGGTTAAAATCAAATAGACGTAACCTATTACGTTAAACAATATACCGTTTTGTTTAAAGGTATAATAATAATGTAAATGGTAAAATAAAATGCATGCAACTTATTACATTAAACTAGCTATCGATATGTTTAAAGGTATAATACTAATGTAACTGATTAAAATAAAATAGGCGCTACCTATTACGTTAAACTACCTATCGATTTGTCTAAAGGTATAATATTAATGTAAACAGTAAAATATTTACAACTTAACAAGTTAAAATAAAATATGTGCTACATATTACGTTAAACTATCTACCTGTTTGTTTAAAGGTATAATAATAATGTAAAGGGTAAAATAAAAGAGACACTACCTATTACGTTAAACTGTCTACCGGTTTGTTTAAAGGTATAATAATAATAATAATGTAATCGATTAAAATAAAAAAGACACTACCTATTCGTCAGATTTCTAGGCTTTTCTTTATTGTTTTCTAACAAATTCGACGACTCCAATTGTCTGTACGTTACACAACTGTCACCATTCAGTTCCTCTCAAATTTCTAAGGTGAGAGAAGATGGGATGTATTTTTTAATTTTTAATTTTTTTTAAAAAATAATATTTTTATTTAAAAAATATATGGTAGACACATAAAAATGTAACAAATAAAATATTAAACATTTATTTTTAACGAAAATTTATTAAACAATAAAAAATAATTTAAATATTTTTTATATTAAACCTTTAATAATCTTACCATGAAATTTACCATATTTATTTCCAACTTTTTTTTATTAAACCTTTAATAATCTTACCTTGAAATTTACCATATTTATTTCCAATTTTAAGTATAGCTGACTTGATAACCTTCCAATTCAGGCGAAGTCCACAATTTCGCTCATGTGTTACACGTATCTCCTACAATATCCATTTGTTCTATCACAACCTGTCAGTCTCCGTATATATCCACTCAAATTTCAATTCCCAAAACTCTTAAAATTCTAAGCATCCGAATATTCCAAAATCAACACAGGCTTACGACCAGGGAACAAATCTACTCCTCTACGTTATCGAAAGATATCCGAAACCTGCGGGACAAGAACTTGGCAGACCGGAAAAAATGAAGGCCGAGACTTTGACTCTGGTCTTGGTGAACCTGGCAGGGATCATGGAGAGAGCCGACGAGTCTTTGTTACCGGGGGTTTACAAGGAAGTTGGTGCCGCTCTTCACACGGATCCCACCGGTCTCGGGTCTCTAACCTTGTTCAGATCTATCGTGCAATCGTCTTGTTATCCAATCGCTGTATACCTGGCCGTTCGTCACAATCGAGCTCATGTAATAGCTCTGGGTGCGTTTTTATGGGCTGCTGCCACCTTTCTGGTTGCCTTCTCCTCCACTTTCTTTCAGGTAAACAGTAGCTACTTACTCCCCCCGTTTATTTTTTTTATTAATCTAGTAATCTTTTATTATCCCTTTTCCTGTTTGGTTGACGGGAATGTGAAGGGGATGCTGGGATTTTATTCTTCGTATGTTGTTTGTGGTGAAGTTGAATGGTTGAACCAACTTGTTGAATTGGGTATTGTTTAATAGAGGTTTTCTGTGTTGTGATTGGACTGTATTTCCTGATTATGTTTTGGTTGAAGTGTATGGGTACTATAATGATGCAAACATTTGATCTGATAGAGTTCATCTGGTGAATCCACTGGTTATGATTGATCTGGTAATCTGATAGAGAAGTACAAAGGGAGAGGCATTAATGGACTTGATCTGCTAAAATTTGATAAATGTAACTTGAATCAAGAAACATTCTTCAGGATGCACATTTGAGGTACCAAAGGGAAATCTTGGAATACTTTTGGGTTTTTTCTTTAATGTTATTGTTTATAGATGGACACGCTATGAGACTTCTTATTTGTTTGTGCAAGAGTCATTTGAAGCGAATTTTCAGTTTACTACTATAAGAATTGCTAAGAGTGCTACAGGGAGAACTGGTAGCCACTCCAGCGAGCAAACCAATTGACCAATTTTTTTTTTTTTTTTTGAGGAACCAATTGACCAAATTAAATTGATAGTCATTTGGCATCTTTTTGAACAGGTAGCCATATCTCGAGCTTTAAATGGAATTGGCCTTGCCATTGTTGCACCTGCAATCCAGTCCCTTGTTGCTGACTCGACAGATGACAGTAACCGTGGTATGGCTTTTGGGTGGCTACAACTTACAAGCAATCTTGGCTCTGTTATTGGAGGATTCATTGCAGTACTATTAGCTCCCATAACATTCATCGGCATCCCTGGTTGGAGAATCGCCTTCCATCTGGTAGGACTAATCAGCATTATTGTTGGTACGCTAGTCTATCTCTTTGCCAATGATCCACACTTTTCAAATGGTGGGGCGAAATCTGGCAATCAAAATTCAAATAGATCCTTATGGTCTGAAGTGAAGGGTCTGGTTCAGGAAGCGAAAGCAGTCATAAAGATCCCATCTTTCCAAATTATTGTGGCTCAGGGTGTTACTGGTTCATTCCCCTGGTCTGCATTGTCATTTGCACCGATGTGGTTGGAGTTAATCGGGTTCTCCCACGAGAAAACTGCATTCCTGATAGCCCTGTTTGTGATTGCTACTTCTGTGGGGGGGCTGTTTGGGGGTATGATGGGGGATTTCCTTTCTACACGTCTACCAAATTCCGGAAGGATCATTCTAGCCCAAATAAGCTCAGCATCGGCCATCCCTTTAGCGGCAGTACTCTTGCTTGTTTTACCTGATGATCCATCCACAGGTGTGATGCATGGCTTGGTCTTAATCATTGTTGGCTTCTGCATTTCCTGGAATGGTCCAGCTGCAAACAAGTAAGATTATTCCCCCCCCCCTCTATTTTGTTTACTATTCCCCTGGATGAAATTACATTTTACATACAATGTTGCATTTATGAACCCGGTTAGGTCATAAGCTTCACAAACATAATTGTATTTCGAAATGTCATATAATATTGGATCATGAAATGGAAGTCTAGATCATAAGATTGGAAGTTTTCAAATAGAAAGCACATGAAGAGAAAAATATTTGCCAAACTTGAGCATGAATTGTTGATGTTTTAAAGTACTTGTATTCTTCGTATATTTATTACATGTAATGAAAATGTTTTCAATGCATGCAGTCCGATATTTGCTGAAATAGTTCCAGAGAAATCTCGAACAAGTGTCTATGCTTTGGACCGATCTTTTGAATCCATCTTGTCATCGTTCGCCCCACCTGCAGTTGGAATATTAGCCCAACACGTTTATGGTTACAAACCTATTAGGAAAGGGGCTAGTGAATCTGAAGAGATTGCAACAGATAGAGAGAACGCTTCATCGTTGGCAAAAGCACTATATACAGCAATAGGAATTCCAATGGCACTCTGCTGTTTCATCTATTCTTTTCTCTACTTCACCTACCCAAGGGATAGAGAGCGAGCTCAAATGGAAGCACACATAGAATCCGAGATGCGAGTACTATTGTCAGATACAATGCCTGAAGGTGGAGATCATTCTCAAGCTCAGTCATTTGAATTGGAAGAACCATATATCAAAGACAGAACCGTTATCGAAGTGGATTATGGGGACGAGGTTGACATTGATCCCGATGAAAATGACGAAAACGATGAGAAGACTATCCTTTATCATCAATTGTCACTCTCTTAGCAGTATACTGTGGGTGTTACGAGATATTGCTTTCATCCCGTTAAGACTTTTCTTGTGTGAACGTTGAAACCGATTATTGTGGTTGTTTTGCAGTGAAAGATTAAGATGCGGTGCATTTGTGTTCTAACCTGCTCTGGCCTTTGTCGGCTAGACATACTCTAAAAAGATAATGTAAGTAACATTGATAAATTCAAAGGTAATACACATTGAAGAGCTACACATATGTTTGAAGTGACATTTCAGCTGATTGGGTCGAGCATTAGTGAAAATACGTGGAATCGATTTATTTAGTTTTGCCTCCGGAGAATATTCCTGAAAGAGGTTTCTCTACACTGAAAAAAAAGGGGTTAACTTGGAAACAGATTGGTGCTCAATACGACCAGTTTCTCTATATTGTAAATAAACATTTTATTTATTTTTTAATTAAAAGCATCTCGCACCAAGCCCGTCTAGCTCAGTCGTTAGAGCGCAATACTCTTTACCTTGTGGTCGTGGGCGGTTTTTTTTTTTTATATTTCGGCTGTCGGCCAGGCCACCAGACTCACCTTTGCTTTCTTATCTTTGGGTTTCTCTTCAGGCCCATTCTTTATTACAAATTTAAAATTATGTATGTCTTGCAATTATCAAAATTCCAAAATTCTTCTACCATATTTTATTTTCCCCAATCACATCCACTTTAGATTGATTGTAGTTTTCCTATCCCTTATTAAAACCAAATTTTATTTCTTTCCGGAGAAAGTAGAAGAGGAAAGAGATCATGAATTGTTTTACGTAAATATTCTTTCATTAAATGTCTTATTTTTAATTCTCATTTTTAGTCTATTAGCAATTGGATTTTTCATTCAAACAACTAATTAACTATATTTTATAATATAATTGGAATAGATTAAGAATCATCCAACCTCTTTTCCATAAATTCAATAAATATATTACTTTATGTTTTTCTTTTCTTTATTTTATTTCAATTTTTTTTATATGATGTTCATCTATAAAATATTAAAGAACGATGAAAGCTTGACTAACTTTAAAATTTAAAATTATGAGTAATCGATTCTTTGAAGATAGCGAAAGCAATAACCTGCCGACATGTTCTTATTGGTCGGAAAACTATAGTTTATTCATTAGCTTGATGAGATTGAGGCTAACTTTATTTTATGACAACAACCAAACCTCCCTCCCAATCAAACATTTACCTTTTCATCCACTTCATTATCAAACTCAACCTAGGAAATAAAATTGGGAAAATTTTATGTTTGACCCCTGTACCTTATCAAATATTTAAATGTGATAGCGCTACTTTAAGTCTATATTGATACTTGAGGTTTTATTCGTTGTGAGTAGCATAATTTGTTATGACGCATGTAGTTTTTTTAAAAAAATATGAAGTTAAAATATTTTATTAATATGTTTTTTAATAATCTAAGGTTATTATAATGTTGTATATGTTTAGATATTTTTTTAATCATTGATAACACACATCCTGCATATGTAATTGCTCGAACTCGAACCTTTTATGAAGAATAATTTTATCTTTGATCTTTGAGACTACTTAATGAATCTAATATCTTATTTTATTTATGATTAATCTAAGGTTAATACAAAGTGAACAATTTGACAATGATCACTCATACACCCTTACAGACATCATGCTTAAACCTGAAATTTTAAGAGATAATAACAATTTCTTAACTATTGAATTCGTTCCTAAACGTGGAAATAACACTTAACAGCACACGATGATACTATAAAACATTTTTTATGCTACGTGTTAATATTTTATTACACTTGATGAAATTATAAAATTTATTTTTAAATGATACAAAAGACTATAAGATAACATCACATTAGTTTTTTTTTTACTAAAAGTAAAAGAATATATAAAAAGTGCCACCATTACGAGATGTCATGCAGCGCTTTCTTAATGCCATTAAGGAGAGGGCATTACACTGATCAATAAAATGAAACTCCAAATACTAAAATATACATTTTAAATATAAAAAATTATATTATAAAATTTGATAAAATAGAAAGCCAAATCTTTCATCATCCTAATAAAGTATAATGTTATATTCGGTTTCTTTTAAGGAATCTTTGATTTTGTTTGTTGGGTAATGTCCAAGTTAGATTGCTGTGCTTCCACCTGTGTAGAACACGTATTGTTTTCCTTTTCATTTATTTATTTTTTAAATATTGATATTTAATTTTCATCTAATTTAATTCAAAGCTTAAGAACATTAATTTTTAGAAAAATGCAATGTAGCTCCGTCACGGGACACGTGTAATTGAGGGAGTAAGGTTTAATTTCAATGTTTTTAAAAAAGTTGGAGGCCTAAAGAGCAATAGACCAAAATATAGGGGGTATGACCCCTCCCTGAACCAATGTAGCTCCGTCACGGGACACGTGTAATTGTGTACGTCCCAAGACATGGGTGCAGAAAGCTCAATTGCTCCAACCCCGAAAGACTTATGGTTCCACCCTCTGCTCTTAGTCAAAAGAGAAATCAGAAAACAACCTCCAAAAGCTTTGGCTTTTGCCAAAATTTTAATTGGGCACTGGGTTGACGCACATTCATAGGCTGACAATAATATATTAAAATCCCATTCTTCTTAGGATTCTAACATATACTTACATAATATATACGGCTATTCTTATAATTCTTTTGTTGTATTAATCATTCAATACAAAAGAATTCAACTGTTAATAATAGGGTAGTAATTGAGATGAAATAAATAACGAGCTATTTAAAATTGATTTAATTAAAACTCGTTCAATATTCGAATTGAATTAAATTGATTTGAATTTTTAACGAATCGAAGTGAGTTACTTGATACTCAATTTAAAAAACTCGCGAGCTATTCGAAAAATAATATATATAAAGTTTATATTTTCAAATTAAATTATTAATAATATTAATGTTTTTTTATGTTTTTTTTTAAAATACAATACAAGTCTTTAATGTACTTAGGGTGTGTTTGGTTGGGGAATGTGAGATTCCCATGGAATGGAATTCACATCCCCGTTTGGTTGACCGAGAATGTCATTCCTGATAATCTTACATTACCAATAGTGAATTTTTTAGGGTATATTACCGGGAATGTCATTATCTCCTTTCCTTAGGTATTGTTGGATTTCCGGCGTTTTAGACTAAAATGCTCTTAATTTTTTTTCAAACATATCATTATTCTGTCATTGAATAATAAAAATTCTATGAATGTTAAATTAAAATTTATCCTTAAACTATTTTAGATTTACAAAAAAAAATCTATAATTTCAATTCTATATGAAGTTCAGGGGTTAAAATAAAATTTACCCTTTCATTAAACATTTTTATATTTTCAATTTTGTAAAAAAATTATATAAATTTTATGAATTTAAATTTTTAAATAAAATATATAAATATTTTCTAACTTGTTAAAAAACCAAATATATAATAAGGACAATTTGGTCAAATATACATTCCAATAATCTTTTATTCCTTTAACCAAACACGGTAATCTTACATTCCTGCTAAACCAACCAAACACAAAATACAACATTCCCAGTAATCATGTTCCTTGGTAATAAGATTTGAGCTTGAATTGAGCTTTACTTTTTTACTTCGAGTGGAATTTGAAATATTAAGCTTGCGAGGTTTCGAGTCGAGTTTTAACTTTTTATTTCGAGTTCGATTCTAACTTGATAATTTTAAACTTGTTAGTTTTCGAATATGGTCAAATTTAATTTTAAAGTTTTTGAATCTAGTCGAGTTAAACAATATTAGAACTTGACTTGACTCGTTTACTATTCTAATTCTAACATATCCTAAGGGGCTGTTTGGTTCGGGGAATGTGGGATTTCCATATAAATGGAATCCACATTCCCCCGTTTGGTTGGTCGGGAATCTCATTTCCCGGTAATGTTTTATTACCAATAGTAAATTTTTTGGGTAGATTACCGGGAATGTCATTACCTCTCTTCAGTTAGGTATTGTTGGATTATCGGATTTTTGGATTAAAATGCCCTTAAATTTTTTTCTTTCAAAAGTATCATTATTCTGTCATTGAACAATAAAAATTCTACGAAAGTTAAATTACAAATTTATCCTTAAACTATTTTAGATTTACAAAAAAAATCTACAATTAAAATTTTATATGAAGTTCAGGGGTTAAATTTAAATTGTACCCTTTCATTAAACCTTTTTATATTTTCAATTTTGTAAAAAAATTATATAAATTTTATGAATTTAATTTTTTTTAAAGAAAATATATAAATATCTTATAGTAATATTATAGTAGAATTCAACTTGTTAAAAAACAAATATATAATAAGGACAATTTGGTCAAGTATAAATTCTAATAATCTTTTATTCATTTAACCAAGCACAGTAATCTTACATTCCTGCTAAACCAAGCACGGTAATCTTACATTCCTGCTAAACCAACAAAACATAAAATATAACATTCCCAGTAATCTTATTATCTGGTAATCTTTTATTCCCATTGGTAATCTTACATTCCGTAACCAAACGCACCGTGCGTTTGGTTGGAGGAATGTGAGATTCCCATGGGAATGAAATCCACATTTTCCCGTTTGGTTGGCCAGGAATGTCATTCCTGTAATTTTACATTACCAATAATGGATTTTTTGGAGTATATTACCGGAATGACATTACTTCCTTTTCCTTAAGTATTGTTGGATTACCGACATTTTGGACTAAAATGCCCTTAATTTTTTTTCTTTCAAAAATATTTTTATTCTGTCATTGAATAATAAAAATTCTACGAAAGTTAAATTACAAATTTATCCTTAAATTATTTTAGATTTACAAAAAAAATCTATAATTAAAATTTTATATCAAGTTCAGGGGTTAAAATAAAAATTTACCCTTTCATTAAACCTTTTTATATTTTCAATTTTGTAAATTTTTTTTATGAATTTAATTTTTTAATAAAAATATATAAATATTTTTCAACTTGTTAAAAAATAAATATATAATAAGGATAATTTGATCAAATATACATTCTAATAATCTTTTATTTCTTTAACCAAACACGATAATCTTACATTCTTGCTAAACCAACCAAACACAAAATACAACATTCCCAATAATCCTATTCTCTAATAATATTTTATTCTCATTGATAATCTTACATTTCGTGAACCAAACACATCCTAACTATTATATTAAAATACTAATGGATAAGATCATTTCAAAAAGTTATTTTTTACGAGATTCCAAATTATTATTATT